CCCCCCCCTTTGCTTTCCTCCTCTTTTCACTCTTCATGACCTCGACTTTGCTTCACTTCATCCTCTTGGCTAAATTAAATTCTATATCCTTTCCCTACTTTTGTGAATCTATCCCTCTACCCTTAGTCTTGCTTTTTCCACGTATTATTCCAACATCTTTTTTCTTTTTGTTACAAATACATACACTTCTATTAGTCCAAATCCAAGTTTTGGAATCTAATCTTTCAAAGCCAAACAAAAAATGTCAGGACAGAACAATAATTTAGGTTGGATTCCTTTGGGTGAAAATGCTTTGGATCCGAGATCAGTGACTTTTTACCAAAGTGCTGCCTAAAATTAACATGTAATATTAAAAGTATTCCTCCTACTTGGGTTTAGTTAGAATTTTTAACTTTTTCTCATTTCTGGCCTTAAAACCTGAAAAAGGGGCATCATTTTGAAAAGGCATTAAAAAAAATGCGTAATACTTTATATAAAGTAGAATTATATCACAGCCTGGACACTCTATAAACTTTAAAAATATGAATAATTGTGTTTATTTTCTTTCTCTTCCAGATTTGTATACCCAGTTTGGATTGAAAAGGTTTTAAAATCGGGCTCATTCTCTTAATTTCCTTTCCTTTGGCATGTTTTCCCAACCTGGTGAGTTTTACAGGAATGTGTTTGATTGGAGGATGTTAATGTATGAGAGGCAGTATGTGTTTCCTTGCATCTGTATGTCTCTGCCAGACGTTTGTTCAGGTTCCAGCTGTTTGTATTTTTGGCCGCTTCCATTTGTTTGTCAGGCCGCTGCTGTGTTTGAGTCACTTAAGCTACTGAGCGAGATGACACTAACAAAGCACTGGATAATGATGTAATCTCTGCCTTCACATCTGGCCCAGCTGTCATATGAGGAATTATTAGTCAAATTATCTGATTATTTTGTTTATTCATCTATTAGTAAGGTGTTTGTGCTTTAATGTCTCGTCTCCCATCTGCCATGTGTGGATGATTGTTTGTGAGCATCTGTGTGTCTGGTTAGGTGTTTACATGTGTATTTATGTTTGTCTTTATGGACAAAAATAACATCTCTACTCCAGGGGTTTCAACTCACACAGCTGGAATATGACCTCGCCAATAAAAGCAGCAAGATTAACTTCCAGGTGCTGGGTTACAAATCAATCAGGGAGCAGGATTAGTTGCTCAGGTACAGTTACGTGAATACCTGTCTTTCTCAGCTGTCTGTGCAAAGGTCGACATGGGGTCATATGGTGACCACACACACACACACACACACACACACACACACACACACACACACACACACACACACACACACACACACACACACACACACACGCACACACACACAACACAACACATTCATCTGTTCGCATATGCCACATTTCATTTGACCAATAACCCATAACCCAAATATATTTTATTTACAGTGTATATAAAGCAACTCATTTTCATAGGGGCTGAAACCAGCATTTTCCTTCATTAATGACTTTAAAACAGCTTGTGTCCTATTTGTGCCACACTGTGGGTGTTATTGAAATAGTTTATGGTGCAGGGTCTTGTGCATTCAACCTGATTGCTGGCTTGTAGAAGAATGCATATGAGGCGTTGTATGAGGAAACATTAAATAAAATAAAAATACATTTGCTGTTGAGTTACTCCTTCAAGTTAGAGTTTATCATAATTTTACTTTTTACCATCTACCTTATTGACAAACAGACTATCCGACACTAAATTAACCGTCACTCTTAGTAAAAACCTCCCGCTCTCTCCAAATCTTAATTTTCATCCTCCTTCACCCGCCACAATTTGCCCCCCTCCTTCCTGTTTTTCTGGGCACCATTGTGCACCGAACTCTCCTGGATCCCAGTAAGAGCACAAAAGCACAACAAAGACCCAGGAAGTGATTAGTGGCTTAACGAGGAGGAGGCTTTGCGGGGAGTTACAGGGGCAGCATGGCCTCTTCCATAAGAGGAGGTGAGGGGGTTAAAGTTTCAGGGCTTAAGAGGTCAGTGTTAAGTTGTGGAGGTCAGTGGAGGGGTTAATTAGGAGCAGGGCTTTTGTTTACGGTGGATAAGGAGACGCAGGAGGCGATTCACTGGGTATCCTCGCTGTGCTCCTCCAGCCACCCTGGAAGTGTCATCCAGCCCTGCTCTCCTTCCTCCTCCCTCATTGTCCCGCCGCTGAATGGAGATGTAGCTGAATTAACTTAATTGTCACCATTACGACACACTCGCCCCCTCATCACCACAACACACCCATACACACCTCGATAATGTTTGGTTCGTCCTTCCTGCTTCAATTAGAAGAATGTATTTTCAACTTGGAAGAGCCCTGGCCATGACTGTCGCTCTGTGTGTGTGTTTGTCCATTGCTTTCTGCTATTTAAACACACACACAGAAACATGCTGCAATCCTCTGGAGACTCAAGCATCTCAAGTAGAGCCGAATGAACCACTCCATGTGAATGTGGTAACAAGAAGGAACTTAACTGACATTGAAACGTCTTCTTGGCTGCAACATTTCTCCTTGGCGACCCCCAAAAAATGTCCTCTATCGGGTTTACTGTCAGTCGAAGGTACTAAAACGATTTTAGCACGTGCTCCTGTAACCAAGCATGACCTTTAGTTTAAAGAAAGGGTCAACATTCATGCAGCAGAGCTGGAGATAACATATTTTTTATTTCACACATTCGTTGTCACTATAACCCACAATGCAACTCAACCATCAAAAGTTTGGTTGGATATTCCGATGTGTTATGCGGCTAATGTAGCTTCGAGATGCTAGCCACAAGTAAAAATGAGGAGCGATCTTTTTAACCCCAGATTTGTTCCATTTTCAGATACTTAAACTGTTTGCGTTGGGCTGCTATTATTTTAATTAATGTAAAGCCTATTTGATTATATTTAATGAAGGAGAGAGATTACCATGCATCATGGAGTAAAAACTGGCACACGTCTCCTCACACCGCCATGCAGGGACATCTGTCTGTTGGGGTGATTGGCATTAACCCTTTAAAGCTGGGTGACCCTCTTTTTGACGCCCAACACATCTCCACTGGACCTCCCATTGGAGTTTCCATGCTTGTGACGACAACATTTAATGAGATGGTGCACAACGTATAAAAGTGTGTGTTTTGGTTTACTAAGGCTCTAAAATAATCACCTTTTTATTCATATTTCACACTCATAGACGCAGTAAATCTGCACTAGGGTGCTACGCTCCAAAGCATATGGCCCAGGCCAACCCAATATTTGTTAATACTGATTGAATTTGCGGCTCTATTAGACTAATGTTAGCAGGCCCCATGCTAATCCAAGGTAAGAGAATGGAGCTGTGGCTTATCTCTGAACTTATGGATATTAGAGAATAGAAAAGTGATTAGAAAGTGATTAGAGTGGACGGAGACCACTTAGAGAAACGTATGCTTTCAGCTCAGGGTGAGAATTTCAATCACACTGTCCACATTATTGCTATTAATGATGAGAGAGGCTTACCGCCAAAACCATAGAGGTTATGAGATTTAGACGATAGCAGACAGAGATGTCAGCTTGTCTTTTTTTTAACATGTCATATCACAATATATTTGTATATGTTTAAAGGGCCTTTTTGTTTATTTATGTATTATTATTATTATTAAATATTCTCTAAAAGCTAAGTCAAGGTCAATATTCGTCTTGTGGTTGTCTTCACACATGTGGATTTACTGTTATGTTAGTCATTGCACTGCAAAACAGATTAAATATAAAATGTATTTAAATTGAAGAAAAAAAAAACGACAGCAGTGTGGGTTTATTTAACAAATACATTTAAAAAAAAGTTTTTCATAATTCTTTGCACTTTTCAAAACAAGTTTCCAAATTCTTTACATGGATTAAAATAATTCAGGACGGAAAAAAGGCTATAATAAAATCAATAATGTGAGATATACAATACTACTGCTAATAATAATACAAATAATAATAATTATAATAATAAAATACATGATTGAAATAAGATAGTGTGCTAACATACATTTATATTTTGAAATAATATAACAAAGAAAGTTTCAATGTTTAACAAACACATTTGTTGAACAGACCTTGTTTTTAAAGTAAATACTATTCACTTATAGATGATATGAAGGCATGTGGATATCTTATCTCAAATATATCACTGCGACGGAATTTCATATCTTTTAAAAATGTTTTTATGATGCCGTTTTAGGTGGCACTGATTTTAATTTACTGACTGACATGACTCGTTTTAATCTTCTTTAGAGTTCTGCAAAAAGCTAATAAGTGTTCGGTTTGCTGTTGAAATAGGTCACAATGGAGAGTCAATTCAGAAGAGACTCTATGTCCAGCTTGTGCTTAAAAAGAGGGAGATAAATCCTCTGTGTTTGATTGACAGGGCTGCCATGACAACCCCGCATCAGCTCTAGGGTGTCCAATCAGGAGTCAGATCCAGGGTCCCTCCCTGACTCCCAGGTGAGCTAAAGAGTCAGACTTCAGCAGATTTCTGTCAGACTCTTTCCGAGACGCACTGCTCTCTGGTTTCACTCTGTCATCCAGATGGTGTTCAGGTCGCCACTCGACTTTTTCTCAGCCTCCCGGATCCTCCTGCCACACTTTGCAGATGGGCCACCTACCCTGGCCCGCTCCCGGTCCCCGGAGGACCCTCCCTCCCCCTGTCCTCCCCTGGCTCTCCCGGGAATGTGTTTCTCCGCGGCGCAGATCGCCAGCGTCTGCGAGACTCTGGAGGAGACCGGAGACATCGAGCGGCTGGCCCGCTTCCTCTGGTCCCTCCCGGTGACCGCAGACGGGCGCGACTCCATCTCTGAGCACGAGTCCGTGCAGCGGGCTCGCGCCGTGGTGGCCTACCACACGGGGAGTTTCGTTGAGCTTTATCACATCCTGGAGACGCACCGCTTTACGCGCGCATCGCACGGAAAGCTTCAGGCGATGTGGCTTGAGGCTCACTACCGGGAGGCAGAGAAGCTCCGGGGGAGACCGCTTGGACCTGTTGACAAGTACCGCGTGAGAAAGAAGTTTCCATTACCGAGGACAATCTGGGATGGTGAGCAAAAGACGCACTGTTTCAAAGAGCGCACACGGGGGCTGCTAAGAGAGTGGTACCTGCAGGACCCCTACCCAAACCCAGGGAAGAAGCGGGAGCTGGCCCATGCGACCGGACTCACACCGACTCAGGTTGGAAACTGGTTCAAGAACCGGAGACAGAGGGACCGGGCGGCAGCAGCCAAAAACAGGTCAGTGACTTTGACTTGGAATAAGTAACAGTTAGAGAAAAATGAAAATCCACACCATAGCAGCCAGAATAAAGTTTGACTAATGATTGTTTTGGTATAGGATCGAAATACTATTAAAGTCAAAGCAACTTTAATTTCCCCAAAAGCAGCCTCTTTATTGATTACTCTTACTCATTCTCTTGTTGAGGCAATTTCGTCTCCACAGGCAGCCAATGTTGTGCGTAAAAGAGGGCCATTCATGCGTAAAAACGCACAGCCATTCAGCTTGTAGGTTTTTGTTTTCCTTCTGTCTGTCTGACCTGGACGATCTTTCCTCTTTCTGTCTTTCACTATAATTGGCTTCAGGATCAGTGTGTGGGTCATCCTGTTGATGAAGACAAAATGTTCACTAATGGGTGCAGATTGCCTGACATGCATGCACTGTAGATCATTTAGTTGGACAATGGCTTCATTTCAAACATTTCTATCAATTTTAACAATTGTATCACAAGCAGAGTTTCCCACGTTTGACACATCTTTATCACTGTTTTTAGGTTGCAGCATCACCGGATGTGTCCAGATGGTGTTCGGTCGCTCAGCGGAGGAGAGTGCAGTCCAGATGAAGAGCGAGCAGATGGAGAAACTCTTCTCTCAGTAACAGATAGTGACTCTGACTTGGATGTTTAAGACTTGAATGTACAATGGACCTTCAAGGGGCCTGTGATGGTCAGTTGTGGATTACCAGAGAGCGGAGGATGTGGACAAAAGGCTCTTCACGGTTTGGGTTGCAATAAATGTTCAGGGCTTATCCCCAGCCCATCAAACAGGTGACGTAACAAGTTGCATGCAGTTTTTTTTCTTTTGTTTCCTGACAATGTGAAAAATGTTTCTCTATGCTGCTGGGTTTAAGTTTGTTTGATCACCAGACCCACATTTGAGATTTTTTAACTTCATCCATGCATGGATGGTGCATCTGTTGACCCAGCTTACCGTCACCCTGATTAAACAGACATCAAGCCGTGGACCCCCGTCGGACTTTAACCCATGGACCCCCCACTTGGGAGGACCTTTACAGACTGCCAGGGAGATGATCACTCTTATTTTCTCTAATTATGTGTCATTATGTTTTTTTTTTTTAATGAAACGAGTTGTTTCTCTAAAAGACCCCAGGATGTCATGCTGTAGACAATCAATACGCACTAAAGCCTTACCTTCCTGTCCGGCTGTTTCCATGTTAATGAACTTTTATTTCTTCCTTTACCTTCACTTCTACTTTATTTAAAGTTCACAGAGTTCACTGTGCAGTCTGTGTGTGATACTATGTCAAACCTAATGTTACATTTTATGCTGAATAAATGTTTTTGGTATTTTATATAAATAAAAGTATTTAATATATGACTGTTATTGTGCCCAGCACTCTTCTTTGATAACACCACCACTGTCAACAATTGTAAAGGTTTTTTAAGTTACATTCATGGATAGACAATCAAAGTTAATACATAATAAGTAAAAATATATTAATACAATGCAACATGAAATTAATAATAATAATAATTTCCTAAAACAATGTTTTTTTAAATTATGTTTGTTAATCTGTCATATTACCCATCTACATTTGTTAAATACAAAACTGAATAGAAGCATATTGTAATCATAAATAAAAAATGTAACAAATATTTTTAAAACATCTCAGTATGAAGCAAGCTATTAATACAAGTTGAAATATCCATGCATTCTTGGTATTAGCAATCCATATGGCCATTCAACTTCTTTTTTTTACAGATACCTACAATTTATGGATAGGTTTTTACTGCACTACATGTATTATATACCTTAAGTAACCTTTAAGATGCAGATTACTAATGTAGAATACATCAAACATAATGTGTTATAATGTATTATTATATGTTTCCCTAACATAAGACATTATTGTTTCCTTGGGGTGATTTTACAAGCCAGTGGAATTTAAACTAGTTAAAACCACCGTCGTATCCTTATCACTATTAATAATTCAGTTATATCATATCAATTATTATAAAATGGGCCATTCTGCATAATATACTTTATTGATGCTAACACTTAAATTATTTTACATAAGGAACACTTTGAATGCAGGACCTTTACTGTGGGTGTAATTCTAAACTGTATTGCTACTTTTAAAATAATACTTTCTCCACTGCTGTCTGATGGGTTCAGTTATTTTCATGCTTTCTCTGTTAAAAATTGTTAAAACGTTGCAATAGTTTCTAATAAGTCTGCACTCAGAAGGCTCCCACATTAGGATATCCCACATTTTTTTCTTGGCATATTTTGATTGTCAAGTAAAAATTCACAAGTCTACCCTCCATTGTTGGAAAAAGAAATACAGATAAAAGAAACCGTATGAGTGGAAACCTATGGTGGAAACACAGTCAGTCACTTTCCAGTACGCGCCGTTCTCCGAGCTGGACACATTACATTGGTCTCTATCCGCAGCTGGAGTAGAAACGAGTGCTCAGGGACCGTCTGCAAAGTGCAACTCCGAAAAAAGAGAATACAATAATATTCAATCACTATTATACAGCTTATTACTACCAAAGTCACTACAAACATCAATAGTCTCCTTTGTGTCATACTACAGCAAGGAGTTTGGAAGAATATGCTTTTGAATAATATCGGGGAATATTTATAATGTAAAATCTTCAATAGATATGGCATCATCTTCAATAATTTTAATATTATGTCTACCAAACTCACTATTTGCATTATTGCTGTTAGCATCTGGTTAGCTAGCTGCGCTAACGGATATTAGAAGCTGTTTCTAAAACAAGGAGAGGGACTCTGAGTGTTTAGATAGTTAACTTTAGTCTAGTTATCTCAGTGGGTCTCAAACGTTTTGGTCACCATTTATGAGAATAAATGAAAAACAATTATGAAATACTATATGACAGTAAAACAAGAATGCAGTTTAAAAGGTGAGTGATTGATTTGTAAAATATCCATAAAGAAAAAGAAAATCTGTTTACAGTTCTGTTTCATATGGGTGTTGAGAGATGTATCCTTCAATTCATTTTGCTCTCAAAATGCATGTTTGATGCATTTAAAAAAAAAAATCTGCTGAAAGCCCTGCTTTCATTCATCTGCACAGCGGCTGACCAACACAGTGGCGCCCCCCCGTGGTTAAAGTAAACAGTCAAATAAAGATGTTGGCTTTTATTCATGAAATAAACAGTTCTAAATTACACGAACTGAATTTGAATAGTGCACTCAACAGGTCAGAAAGATTTTTTTAACTTAAACGATGATATTAAACAGCGTTACATTCCCTTCAGATTCTTTATTCAACACTGTCCTTAGCATTTTACAGAATAAAAGCTTACTTAGTCCTTTTTCCCAGCAGCCTACTATAAGGTGATTTAAGGGCATTCATGGCATATAGTTAAATAGGACAGAAAAGCTTGACAGGGTTTATTTTCTTGTGAGTTAAAACTTTTTTTGCTGAGCTCCAAATCTTTCAAACAACTCAAGCTTGTGGGAGGGGCCAGCTTGAAACAGGAAGTTAAGCAACAACGCATGGAGATCTGACGACAGTAACATTTATGGGTTTTTGCTAGTTTTCGTCACAGGGTCGTACAATTATTATACTGGACAAACCTGTAATGGAAACATAACAGTCATGTACTACTGAAACCAAACCAGCAAAAACAAAAAAAGTAACGATTTTCTTACTTTGGGAATGTTTTTCAAAGGCTTTGCTAATGAAGATGTCGGTCTACCTTGCAATAGAGAACAGTTGAGGATACACTACCTTTAATTTCTCCTTCTTTGCAGACCTCTAATCAACCGCAAAAATGTTCACAAACCAACAATAATTGTGCATTAACCTCCTAACCCTTCCCTATATGCCTGATTACTCTATAGCCGAGTAGGCCTACATACAAATAACAAACACCCAAGTCAAGGTTTCTTGGTCAAGGCCTGGTACGCGCCAAATTAAATTCGGGAATTATACCTACACTAGCTCAAACCAATGATAAAATGTTTGGTCCCAATCACCTAAATGTTACAACAAATGATTTAGAGGGCAGTTTACTCAACAGTCGGTGCCACACGCCTCCCTGGAATATGATACACTCTTCTTTTACTTCAATGAAAAGCAAACATCTTCATGTTGTATCACTTGTTGTGCTACTTTATGGCTGGAAAACTTACACAAGGCAGATATTCTAAAATGCTTACCTTTTTGCCACTGACTTGTATTGTTACATTTCAACACAATGTTCTTCATTTTTTACAGAATGTAGCCAAATAATATATGCTATTTTGCTATGTCCCAAGCACCACTCATTAAATCAGTACAATTATTCAAATCTTTAACAAAAAGAATGTCTTCAAATTATTATTTTTGCTAATTAAGATATTACTCAACTTGAGTGCATTGATCATTTGGTGATAAAAATCATATTTTATTTATCAAAAGTTTCTTCTCTCTTCATTAGTAGGAAACTCAAAGTCTAAAGTAAGTGAGTACTGGATTTTCCTATTGAATAATTTTCTTTGGATAAATTGCTAACGTGCTTTTCCTAAGCTGAACATGTCCACCCTGTCGGCATAGAATATGCTGTAAGACATGTAAGTTTAACACTAAATTGTCTATAAAAACCAGAGTCAGCTAGTCACAATTTGTTGGAACCAACATGCTAACTGAAGGTCAAAATGTCCACCCTGTCGTTGTACCAAAAATGTCGAACCTTTCAACTCTGAGTGGTCAACAGGTTTCATGGTCTGTTTGAACGGATGTCCAAGAGTTCTTACAGTAATGTTCAGAATTGAAGCTAGCTTGATTCTTAAATCAACCTGTGTCCTCCCTGTCGTGAAAATGTCCAGCCAGTCGTTGTGTTTTTCAAGTTTTATGAAAATAAATAATCTATTTTTCACAAGTTAGAAAAAAAAGTTTTTGTTGGATTTCTATATAAACAAATGAGAACTTTATAGTATTGTCGACATTTTGAACAGATAGTATTAGTTGCTGGATTTTATTTAGAAAAGTAAGTTAAACGTTTGCATATTTTAAAGGAAAACAAATGTTTTGCACTAAATTCATTATTACCAAAACACTTTTCCTATTATTTAACAGCAATTGTTAAGAAAGGGATAACATATATTTCTGAAAATGTCTCACTGTTTAATGAAAATGTATATAATCTACTTTAAATCTGTCCATGACAGGTTGGACATATTTTTGGAAGTGCTCCTATATTGTCTGCTTACAGTTAAGTAATAAAAAGTGCAGGAGCTTGGGAAACATGCATTTCTAACAGCCTGATATCTACATAATACAGTGATTATGAAGTTAAAGGGAACATCTTCACAAATAATGAAGTCTCAAAGGCACCATACTTAGGTTTCATAATTTTGTTTAAATATTTAAATATGTTGTATACTTCTGAAAACTTAAACTCCACCATGCATGTTACAGGTGTGAATATTCAAATGTCTTTCTACTGCTCAAATCTTATATGACAGATAACGATTTTAATTACAAAATATTCTGCATTTTAGAGAAAAATATATTGCACAACATCTTTAAAATGTAACATGTTATGTTACCCTATGTCTCTATCTATATCTATCCGCTTTTACATATATATATATATATATATAAATACTCAAGTGTCTAGTGGAACTTTAAAAAAGTTTTTACTGTAGTTCCACCAAAAAAACATTTCCCCGTAAAACTTCTCAGACAAGTAATTGCTTTCGGTTTTGATACTCTAATTACATTTGGCTTATAACACTTGTGTAGGATTTTAATGCAAAATATTAACTTTTTTTGCAAAGGTGTATTGGTACTATTACCAACTCTAATTAAAGGATTTTTGTGTCGCAGAATTGATCACAGTCGAAACATGGAGCTACGAGTAGCACTTGAATACGGCGTACCGTGACGTCATGTCCTGGGAGCATCATCATCTCGGCGATACCACGCACGAGCCAGCAGGGGGCGTAGCTGGACAGGCCTGATGTGCAGTGAGTGTAAGTGAGCAGGCAGATGTTCTGTTCTGTGATTGGTGTGTGAGTGAAACATCTGAGGGCAGTCCATGATAGAGAGTGACAGTTGCCATGGCAGCTCATTAATCACTCAATGTGACAAATCAACTGAAGCAACAAGACAAAATTAGGGTGATTAGTGGCATGGATGTGATGTTTATGTTTGCAAGAACCATGTGATACTGAACTTATACCATGACCTTACTCTAAGTCTAAATACAGAATATAGTTTTTATAATGACAATAGCAAAAAAAGATAATCATTTGTAATGCATGTTTCAAGAATCATAATATTAAGCACTTCGCATGAGGGGAAATTGACCATAATTGTTATTTAAAGGTCCCATGACATGCATCTCTACTGATCATAATTCCATTGTTGAGGTCTACAAGAATAGATTTACATTGTTCAATGTTCCAAAATCACATTGGTTTCTCATACAGAAAACATGCAGTTTGGTGCTGAGCAGGTATAAAGAAAATGTGTACAGCTCTTTATATAAACACAGTAGCCTATAGCCAAAGAATGACACTATGAGACGGGTGATGGCCTAACCACTAAACAATTAGCTAAAACTCACAATAGAGCTCTGTTAAAACAGCCAGGAGCTTCAGATATTTCTCTGTAGGATCATACTATGAGCCACTGTTATAAAGTGTTCTTACTTTGTCATTTGATGTGTTGTTATTATTATAAATATATAAATTAAAGCTGCTTTAAGTTCATGGTAATTTAACAAGACCCAATCTGTCCTTGGGGATATTATGGAAATACAGAGTAATACAAGGCATGACGTTATTTAATAATATAAAATATACATATATTCTTTTATTCTACCTTACCACCTGCTTGCACCCGATAGACAAACAAAAGTGGGTGTCATATTTAAGCTCGTTTTTTTAATCCTCACCAAAATGTCTCCTGTAAAGCAACGCTCTTTCCATCAACAATGGGTCAAATTACTTTGTGTATTGGCAAAGAAGTTCCTTATAGTGACGAACCAAGATCATTTTCACTGAAAGCTCTATGAAGTGTTTTCAGCAGCTTTCCGCTCATACTTCAGGTTTTTTTATGGCTCACAACTTAAATGTTTTGCCTAATCGTAGCAGATAAAGAGCCAGATTATTTCCCCAAGAGTTAAAGCAACCAAACCAGCGCGGAAAAAAAGGAGCCAATATCAGACTTACTTCTGTCAGGTGCGAAGAAACACATCTTTAAGTGTGCGTGTGTGTATGTATGTGTGTGTGTGTGTGTGTGTGTGTGTGTGTGTGTGTGTGTGTGTGTGTGTGTGTGTGTGTGTGTGTGTGTGTGTGGATCTATTGGCTGTCTGGGCTGTCTGGACATGGCACACACTCTCCATGCCTGCGGGTGAATTCCACCCCCCTCTTCGTCTGTTTCGTTTAAAAAACACCTCTTCTTTCTACACACACACACACACACACACACACACACACACACACACACACACACACACACACACACACACACACACACACACTCTCTCTCTCTCTCTCTCTCTCTCTCTCTCTTTTCCTCTTATCCGGCGCAAGAGCCCGGCAGCGTGGGTGACGCGTTTTGCGCATTTCCTGCAGTTCNGTCCCCTCGCTCTGAGGGTTCTCTTGAGGTGTCTTCACTTATGTGAAACCCTTTATATATACAGTCTATGTGTGAAACCCGTGCCTATTGCCAAGCACTGATGTTATATCTTTATATTTAAGGCCAAGCTCAAAG